ATTATTACTTTGTACAAAAAGATTTTGTTTAAGTATATGACTTTTAATTTACTTTTATTGTATTATATAATCTGACACAAAATGAAGGTTAAAATTTCTTCCCCAGACCCTACTTTTAATCAAAGTCTTGTTAAAAATGCAAGTTTCTAGAGTCCTCTACATGTCTTATTGAAGAAGTTCTTTGGAAACCAAATATATATATTTATACCACACCTGCTTTTTACTTTTTTTTGGGGGGGGGCAGTTACTGGGAGTTGAACCCAGGTGTGCTCTACTGCTGCACTACATCTCAGCCCTTTTTATTTTTATTTTGATTCAGGACCTCACTAAGTTGCTTAGGGCCTTGCTGAAGTTATATCCATCCTCTACTCAGGAGAAAGCCAGAAAGAGGAGAAAGTTTTATATAAATATTCCCCAGACCCAGGTGTATCACCTGCAGTTCTTGGTAAAGTCTCTTCAATTCCACCGCTGCTGGTCCTGTCAGCTTGCCGTTATGAGACTGGAACCCATTCAGTTTTCCTTTCTTTAAATCTTCCAATTGCTGACTAAGCTGATCAACTCTTAAAATTGCAGTCTGTACTTCCTGCTTCTTTTCCTGGAACATGGCGCTGAACCTTTCTATTTCAGCAGCTATAATTGCCCACCAAAAAAGAAAAAAACTCATTTAAACTGACATCCTGTCTTTTTAATATCTATATGCTGCACTCAACTCTGGTATTATTTAGTGCCAGACCATGGATTAAGTGTTGCGTCATCAAGTCTTTGAAACACGTGACATGACATGACTTACAGAGCAAACCATTTTCTCTGTAACTACTGAATGTTCCTGAAGGCAACTGATTCAGAAGCTAGCTTGGCCACACTACTCAGGAGTTTCAGGTACCAACAGAACAAAGGCATGGTGAAGGTCTTGCTAATCACTGTAACCTAATGTACGCGATCACTGAAAAAACCAGAGAGCCCACACAGAAACAAAAAACAGCAATCTCGTGGTGAAGCTTAAAATTTCAGCCATTTCATGACAACGGATACTAATTATGAGTGAGTCCTGGAGCAGCCCTGGCCAACCAAAGAACTCCAGTCACCAGTGTACAAGAGGTGACTGCATCATCAGGGTTGGACTAAAATAGACCGTTCCCATGAATATGCACAATTGCTACTGTTAATAAAAATTTTCAAAGAAGAAATTACCTTGATTTGATCAATACACAATGTATACCTGTATCAAATTATCTCACTGTATCCCCAAAATATGTATAATTAAAATCATATTTAAAAAACCAAATCCAGAAAATTGATGTTAACACTACATTATGAATTCAAWTATAACCTAATTTGGATTTCACTAGTTTTATATTTACTTCTTTGTGGGCTGGGGGAATGTATAGTTAAAAAAAAAAAATCACTTAACCTAACCAACCCAGTTTTCTTAGGTGTAGAAAACAGTAAAGCTTTAGTGCACTTGCTATAGCAAAATTCCACATGAATTCATGCCTGAATCATCAGCAACCAGCCTCTGACTTATCTAGGCCTGGAGCGTATGGACACAGTGGGCCGCGGGAACCTACATAGATTGCCGTTCATGATTTTGCTGTAATCAACTTGTCCTCTCATGGCACGAATTTTCTTCAGCTTGTTTTCCTGGGCTTCAACTCGTTCTTTCAGTTTCTGAAGCTTTTCGTTTTCAGAAATAGACTGCTGCTGGCGGCGTTCCTGTTGCTTTAGAAAATGTAAACGTTGTTCCTGACAAAGAAGGGAAAAAATCTTAACTTTGCAAATTAAAACTTACAATTACATGTATATACTTTTAAACTGAGTGTATTCCATTCCTACTTTAACAAATATTTAAGAAACACTAAAAGAATTTTTTTTAATTCAATCTTTAAAAAAATTTCTTTAAAAAAATTCTTTAAGGTGCACTTAACCACTGAGCCACATCCCCAGGCCCCCTTTTATATTTTGTTAGAATGGGTCTTCGCAGAGTAGATAAATTGCTGAAGCTGGCTTTGAACTCACGATCTTCCTGCCTCAGCCTTCTGAGCCATTGGGATTACAAATGGGTGCCACCACACCCAGCACTAAAGGAATCTTGTACAGAGTAATTCACAAAAGCCTGAAATTACTGGATATTAATGTGAGATGAGTCTGGGGATTTTCAAGAGGATCTGACTAAGCGCAATGCTCTGCATCACTTGGTCGATATCAGCACCACTATGGAAGATGCAGATAGGCCCACTGCAGAGAGCATGTGCCCAATGCCAAATCTCCTCTGCACTCCACCACACCTGTCAAGTCTCTGTCAAACTTGTTTCCACCAGAGTATAGGCTTTCTGCTGCTACAACACTTTAACCACTCCTTAACTTCCCAAAGGAAATGAGCGTGAGCAGCAGAGTTTTACATGAAAACAGAAAAGGCCATCAGTCAGGAGATGAGCCTCCAATTTCCAGGGACACTGAACAATCAAGGAAGTGTTTGCTTTTTTAAGTATTAATGATAAAACATTTTTAAAAAGGATACTTCTAAAATAAAAATTATATGTAATGCTTTTCAGTAGTTTTTCCCTTATTAATGTGAAAACATACCTTAAGGATAACAGTCAAAATTAAATATTCATGCCCACATGTATGCATGAAATATACCCAAACAAAGAGAGGCTTAGGTAAGATTTTGCAGGCATTACATACCACTTTCTGAAGGAAAGGAAAGATGTTAGGGTTAGAATATTTAAGATCTGGCATTCACTGTGGTCTGTATCACTGAATCAATATATCTATAATTTTTTTTTTTTTTTTTGTGGTACTCGGGATTTAACCCAGGGTCTCACATGTGTTAGCCAAGCTATCTATTACTGAGCTACACCCCAGCCCTTATTTTGTGTATTATTATTACTTCTTGTGGTTCTGGGATTGAACCCAAGATATCACACACGCAAGGCAAGTACTCTGCCACTGAGGTATATATCCAGCCCTTTTTATTAATTATTATTTTTTTTAACTTTGAGACAAGATCTTGTTAAGTTGCCCAGGCTGGCCTGGAACTTGTGATCCTCTTACTTCAACCTCCTGAGTAGCTGGGATTTTAGGCACGTGATAATACATCTGGCTATAAAGTTGATTTTGTTTTACCCAGTACTGGAAATTGGGGCACTTTATCACTAAGCTATACTCAACCCCAATCCTTTCCATTATTTTTTACATTTTGAGACAGGGTCCTGCTAAGTGACCCAGGCTGTCCTCAAACTTCCTGCTTCAGCCTCTCTAGTAGCCAGAATTCCAGGTATGTGTCACCTCACCTAGCCTATTTATTGTTCTTTTTGCTGTTTTTTAATAGCAATATTCTTGGATCAATATATTGAAAGGAAATATGCAGAATTAGAAAATTTATAATTACATAATACTATGTATATTTCATCTTAGAAATTATCAAGAGGGTGAAATAATTTCTAATTTTAATTGTTTTTATTCTTATAAATCCAATAAAATTTATGAGACAATGTTTTAAACAAATTATTATTTACATAAAAGTAGACAGATAGTACAATGAACTGTATATCCAATGCATGAAAAAAATGAATTGGTCATTTCCTGGGGGCCATCTGTGAATTGTATGTGAACTAAAGTGCTGTTGAAGCCATTAGGCAGGAAAGCCTGGTGGTATCAGGAACTCCCAGCATCAAACCCAGTGGTTTGAGAATGCCTGGTTCATGTGGCTTCATACCCAGCTCCATCTCAAGTTCAGCACAGCACCAGAGAGGAGGTGACCCACTGGAGCCACACTGCCTGTTGGAGATGGGTCTGGCTTGCTAAAATGCCAATCAACCTGTTTACTGCAAGACCTCTGCCACACCAAGAAGCAAGCACCAACCAAGACTCCTCCAGCTGAAACCTTATTTCTGCCTTTGATGTATTTCCCCTTAAATAAAGAATCTGAGCCCTTTTTCAGTTGTTCAGTTCCAGCTCCTACCAGGACTGGAAGACCTATCAGATGCTCCCCTTTTTAAAACCAATTTCTGGCTCTGTCTCTATTTCTTACTAATTATTTCAGACTTTTTGTTTCCCGGGCAGCTCACACCTCCTGAGCAGGAACCTATCCTGGTAGGGTGCTGGTCACCCTGCAATAGTCATTTATTCAACTAAGTAAATCTCTCTACAGAAGAAGGCAATAAGAACTTAGCTGGTAAGGTTTAAAGGTTCTCCCTAGAGCAGTTTCAGAGCATTTTAAGGCCATTTACAACATGAGTCAGTTCCAGGAGGCATGGACAACAGGTCTGATTTTTTAGTCTATCAAGTATGACTAAAATATGATTTAGAAAAATTCCAAATCCAGCTTTACAGAATCCAATCACAATTGCAGAACGCAGTGAATAGACTAAGTCCAAATGCCATCAACCAGATAGGTCCAGCACAGGCAGCCTTTCACCAGCTGTCTACCTCCAGGGCCCAGCCAGACCTTCCAGCACAGACTGTGGGGCTCCTCTACAATACCAACACCAACCCCTGGCAGAAAACATGCCAGAGGAAAGCAGAGGTAACAGCAGAAAGCATCCTTTCCAAATTCTGTCCTTCATTTGAAAAGGGCCAACTATCTCCTGTTTAGAGTGCCTGCATGGCAAGGGTCAGGGACTCTTGCTGGGATGCCTCCCCACCATCACGATGCTAAGGAGCATCCATTAACACAGAAGGGATCACACAGAGAAAAGGACACTGTGTTAACACTTGCCTGGGGGGGCCCCATCTGGCAAGTGTGACCCGTGCAAAATAGATGAATTCTAATCGGAAAGACTGTTGAGGCACACACATTTTGAATAATGCTTCCATAATTCTGTATTTGTAACTTACCTTGGCAACCAACATTTGCTGCTGATTTTCAATTTGCTGCTGTTGCCTAGCTGCCATATCTTGGAGCTCTGAGAGGGTAAGTTCAACACGTGGATTCCCAACCTGCCAAGAATGAAAGGTATTCATTGATATCTATGTTCACCTGCAAAATCATTTTTCTGTGGTGCCAGAATTCACACAAATCCAGATTTTAGATAGAAGTTAAGAGGATGCAAATTATTTTCTCTTAAGACTTTTTCCTAATTGTTGACTATTTTTATTAACTATGAATGACAGGTTTGAATTTTTTTTCCCAAAATAACAGCTTTCCTAATGCATAAAAACCAGACACTATAATAATACAGGGATAAACAATAGGAAAATGTGTTTTGGGGCTGGGGATATAGCTCAGTTGGTAGAGTGCTTGCCTCACATGCACAAGACCCTGGATTCAATCCCCAGCACCCCCCCCCCCACACACACACCTGTAAAAAAAAACGTTTTATAAGTAAATTATTTAGTATGGACTGGAGGTTTAATAAATGTATTTGAACAGATGGGGCTGTCAAAATATTTAAGGACACATAACCACAATTGTATGGATGATACCCAAGGGCATCAACTTACTGTCATCTGCTTTTTATTTATTTATTTATTTTTTAGTTGTAGTTGGACACAATACCTTTATTTTTATTTATTGTTATTTGGTGCTGAGGATTGAACCCAGTGTCTCGCACGTGCTAAGCAAGCGCTCTACCACTGAGCCACAGCCTCAGCCCCTGTCATCTGCTTTTGAGAAAATGAAATACATAACAGTTTCTAAAATACAAGTGCTTCAATAAGGATTAGAATGGCCTACAGGAAAAAGTGACACATGATCTGACAGAATCAAGTATGTGAGATGAATACAAAAAGGTGATACCTTGGAGTGGCAGCTGGCCACACACCTTCTTCTGTAGCAATGCCCTATAAGCCAGTGGACTCCAGAGGCAGGTGCTATAAAATCCCCATTTCACAGAAAAGGAAAGAAGCAGAGGCAGGCGCTCTTCATCCAGCACTCTCCCTACATCCCACTGTGTGCACTGCACTGTGCCCAGTGTTTTGGGCACCATGCCACACATTCTCCAAGACAAGCCTCTCTGCAAGGCATGAGACCACTCAGTGAAGGGTATGCCAGAGGAGGCAGCTTACAAAACAGCAGAGCCTTGCTCTGATCAAACTGCCTTCCTGCGCCCCTTCAGTTCCAACCATGGCGGCCACATCAACTCTCAAGACCCTTTGCCTTCTACCACCCTTAAATCTCTCATGATTCTTGAGTCAGTTCCAATCCCTGTCCCTCTGGCTCCATGTCTTCCCAAATTTTTATGGTATTAGAGTAATTCTTTACTCCAGAAGAATGGAATAGGTATTAGTCCAGCGGTCTTACCTGGAGCTCCCATTCTATGTATCTAAATTAGCTCCTAAGGAGTAATGTGAAGCTCACCTCTCTTAAACTAAGTTTTTGTTTTGTTTTGTTTTTGTTTTTTGTGGTGCTGGGGATTGAACTCATGGCCTTGTGCATGCAAGGCAAGCACTCTACCAACTGAGCTATAACCCCAGCCCCAAAATTAGTTTTTTTTTTTTTAAACTTCCATTATTTTGAGACAGGGTCCCGCTAAGTGACCCAGGCTGGCCTCAAACTTGTAATCTTCCTGCTTCCATCAATGCTTAGAATATCAGTCAAAAGGATAGAAGTGAAACTTTTAACTGTTTGTATTCTGGCACTTAACATAAAAAAATGTAGAGCTTATAAAATATTTTATTTTTGTTTAAACTGAAACATTTTATTCACCATCATAAACATTTATACTCTTTGCAGAGGTTGCATGTGTTTTTATAATGACAAAATTAAATTATACCATGTTGTCAGAAAGCATTCTGGTGTTGTGTATATACACTAATATACAGCATTAATATTTTAGTGAAGTAGATCTTATGTGCAGAAAAGTGTGGTAAACCATAATATACAACTGAATCAATTATTTCAAAGTGAATCATTCACTTTGTGTTATTCAATTGTACTTAAATGGGTTATAAAAACATACAGCCAACCAACATGAAGCAATTTATATTTTAGTATATATTCCCGTAACTATTCACTGTGAACATTTAGCAACACAAAGCACTTTTTCAGTTTTTAAAAAATATTTTTTAGTGTTGATGGACCTTTATTTTATTCATTTATTTATATGTGGTACTGAGAATTGAACCCAGTGCCTCACACATGTGAGGCAAGCACTCTACCATTGAGCCACAACCCTAGCCCCACTTTTTCAGTTTTTTAAGAAAACAAAAATGCTTCAGTGAAAATTTGATCCTTTTATAACAGGGATATATCACTGTACTACATTAAACAATCCCAGCTTACAATTTTAAAATTCCCCTTTGATCTCAACTTATTCAAACAAACTTATGCCCTAACTTGTTCTTATTTGTCTTCACTGCAGGATGAGATTAGATCTTGCACCAGGCCCTTCAAGGACCCTGGTGATGGCAGAATCACTCAATGAATATGGCCCCAGTGCAGACCAGGACAGCCACCTCCATCACTGAGTGAAATGGCTAGAAAGTCCTCTCAGCCAGCCAGGCAAGCATGGCAACATGGCCAGAACCCAAAGGAAAGGGCTGGCAGCCTTCTGTCTGCTCCTGGGATCCTCCTTGAGAACAGCTGCCTGCACCCAGGGCTCAGGGACCTTGCTAATGTCCCTCTTCACTATCTGAGCTCTGGATTCTGGGAAAGCAGTTATGTTCCTAATGAACCTGGTTCATTCTCCGGCTAATGCGGGCATCCTCACTCCCCATGGTCAATGCAGCTCAGCCCACTCAGGTGTGACTACACACACATACCGTAGCACCGGCAGAGTGGCCAAAGACAGTTTTTCTGATTGCTCATCTGATCACCCTTTTCTCCTAACTCTCATAAATCTATTGTGGAAAATGGGAACTCAAGAGACTAACTTCTGCTGTGCAACATTTTTATATACACAGTATTAGCTGATGTTAGCCTATTAGCTAACATGAAGCTTCATGAAGCTATAAGCTATAGGAGCAATAAGTCCTGTCCTGGCCCTGGCCACAGCCACCAGGGACCAGAATTTTCTAAGTGACTCAATCCTTTTTCTCCCTCCACCAGATCCCTGTCATAGTCTGCCATGGATGACCTCTTTTCAAACTCAAACACCCAGACTTCTTTCATTCCATCCTCCTTGAGGAGTCTACATCCTCCTGTCATTATGGTTTCCCTACAGATCTCTCCCAATCCCTCATTAACCCAAATGGCTTCGGGCCCTTATCACCTCCTTCTGACCATGTCCCCCAATCCCTGCCTGTCCGCAATGGCCATACGCTGTGGTGCCATGGCAGTTCATAAACAAAAAAGCTAAACGATGTGCTTGAGACTTGGTACCCAAAGAAGCACTGGTTGCAGTCCCCCACTCCACATACAAGGCTGAGAAGGCACGAGCAATGCTTGTTTCCTGGTCCTAAACTATCCACACACAGCACAATACTGTAATAATCCATTCACTTCCCATGTGCCAGACACACAATCTTAGACCCTGAGGACCACACAAAGGTAAAATTGCTCTCCTGTTATTTTCCATGACACTCTCTTCTGATGAAAGAAAAGAGAATCTCATGTGGGAAGCAACTAGATTACTCCATCATATTCAACTATGACCATGAGAAACTGAGCTCAGGTTTTCTTTTGTATTTCTACTGCAAAATAAAAGTAGCATTTCCCTAACAGTGAGAACCTAGATCATCACCATGCACTCTGGGAGAAGTGCACTGCTCAAGCTAAGCAGCCATCCCAAAAAGCTCATGAGAAGCACATAAAAGCAGACATTCCACCGAGCACAGTGCATACACCTGGAATCCCAGTAGCTCGGGAGGCTGAGGCAGGAGGATAGTGAGTTCAAAGCCAGTCTCAGCAAAAGTGTTCATTTATTTAGATGGAGGTTATCAGTGATTTATTCCTTTGTATTGTTGACTAGTTTCCCAACACATGGACACATCCTGTTTTGTTCACCCATTCTTCTATAGATGGATAGCAGAGGACTATTTTCATTTTGTGGCTATGATAAATAAAAGGTACGACGAGCAATCATGCACTGATATTTACATGGACAAAGGTTTCTACTTCTCTTGGGTGACCAATATCAAGAGGTGGACCAGGTGTGTGGTATGGCAGGTATATGTCTAATTGAAGTAACTGTTAGACTGTTTTTGACAAAGAAGGGATTACAAATAAATGGTATTTAAGGATCAGACTTTCAACAAAGAAGCTAGCCTGTGATTTGCCAAAAGTTAGATAAGAAAAGGAGGCTTATTTTCCATGTTAATTTCTCATCTTTGTTAATGTGTGTATAAATCATAACTTGAGAAGCTACCAAAATAAATAATGTTTGAAAACTAGGCTACCAGAATGAGATTTTTATAGATATTACAAACAGCTACAACTCACTTAATAACTATAGTTGTGGCTTTTGATCACAGGTCCGTTGGTGACATAGCTTTAATCAAGCACATTTTTTAAAAAATATTTATTTATTTATTTTTTAGTTTTCGGCGGACTCAACATCTTTGTTTGTATGTGGTGCTGAGGATTGAACCCGGGCCGCACTCGTGCCATGTGAGCGCGCTACCACTTGAGCCACATCCCCAGCCCCTCAAGCACATTTTGTGTCTCTCCAGGCAATGTTTTAAATGTTACTTTAAATTGGTAGTACAACAACCCAGGTATTAAAGATATACTGTCATGATCAACAATTATGCAATATAAAATACACATCTTCTACCATAATAACATGTTTTTTGTAGATTTTTTAGTCTCTTCAAACATTATAAAGAAGACAGTTTACATTCTGTTTAACAGGAAAACAATCTGCCAATATGTACCAAAAGTAATAGCTTTATCAAAGACTGTAATTTCATCCAGAAAACAGAAGGGTCGTCACATTATGGACTTTAACTCTTAACACTGCAGACTTTTTTTTTTAAACTACACCATTCTTCATATATTTTTTTGGGGTGGGCATAAGGACTCTTTCATCCAAAAATGCACTAACTAAATACTGT